CCCCCTCCCCCCAGTCCCTCTGCTCTTGTCATTCTGTCTCAGTGATTTTCTCTCTGCAGATCTCTGCCAGTCACCTGAAAACATGGCTGAAACCCACCGGGACCCCTCGCCTGCTGAGCACTCTCCCCCCGCCCCCTCCTAGGCAACAGGATGAGTCCTCCAAACGTGGGGTAAGATCTGTCTGCGCTCCTTCCAGTGCTCCTGCATTCTTCTGTTCTGTTCCCTGAACGCAACGCACATATCGCCGTCCATTATTCCTGGGGGGAGCGACTGTTAACAGGCAGATGTCTGTCCTCCCTTGTGTCCCTGTCCCCCCCGATCATCTTTTTCCCAACTAAGTGCTGCTGATCCCTTCCAGCCACTTCCTGTCTACATGCACTGGCTGCACATCATTGGCTTGCTGGACAGTGGACCTTGTCTGAGCAATGTGTGTCACCGTGGATGCTTGTAGTCTCTAGAGCAAGCCCATGTGACAGGATGTCAACACAGGAGCACAGTTGGGACATAGGCAAAGAGCGTAGTCACCTTATAACAGGAAGTGACTGAACATGGACAGAGCATTGTCACCCTATAACAGGAAGTGTCTGAACAAGGACAGAGCATTGTCACCCTATAACAGGAAGTGTCTGAACAAGGACAGAGCATTGTCACCCTATAACAGGAAGTGTCTGAACAAGGACAGAGCGTAGTCACCCTATAACAGGAAGTGTCTGAGGAAGGACAGAGCGTAGTCACCCTATAACAGGAAGTGGCTGAGGAAGGACAGAGCGTTGTCAGGAGCCATGTTTGGGGAGGTCTCACCTGTTATCTGGCGGTGTTGTTGCTCCATCAGATCGGGTTGTATTCAGAGAACAAACCAGAACACGATTGTATCTTTGCTCCATCAGCAGAGATGAAGGGGATGTGATCATGTGATGTGATCATGTGATGTGGGCTGTACCGTACAATGTGTCGGGGTGCCAGTCACAATGAATGGCCCTGTAATGATCCGGTGCGGCACCATACGCCGTGGCAATGTATGTTACAGCACACAAGTGTGTATGGGCCCTCGGTATTGTACCTGCGGGGTGGCTGGGGGCAGGTTTTCGGGGCTGGTGTACCTCTGCTCTGAGTGACATTTCCTCTTCTCTGTGTCAGTAGCCGGTCACCTGGAAGTCTCTGGCGTTGACGGTCGCTCTGGGCGGAGCTCTGATGGCGGGAATGAAGTATTTGAAGAAAGAGAAAGAAGAGAGTAAGTTGTGTGTGGTGTCAGTAGGGGGCGCTGTACAGTGTGGTGTCAGTAGGGGCGCTGTACAGTGTGGTGTCTGTAGGGGGCGTTGTACAGTGTGGTGTCAGTAGGAGGCGCTGTACAGTGTGGTGTCAGTAGGGGCACTGTACAGTGTGGTGTCTGTAGGGGGCGTTGTACAGTGTTATGTCAGTAGGGGGCGCTGTACAGTGTGGTGTCAGTAGGAGGCGCTGTACAGTGTGGTGTCTGTAGGGGGCGCTGTACAGTGGTGTCAGTAGGAGGCGCTGTACAGTGTGGTGTCTGTAGGGGGCGCTGTACAGTGGTGTCAGTAGGGGGCGCTGTACTCTGTGTGATATATCCGCCTCTATGGCCGGGGTGTCAGGAAATCTCGGTGTACCTGGTAGAAGGTCCCCCTCCATGAATGTCACGTCAGTTCCTCCAGGAAGTTGTAGCGTTCTTCTTTCTATGTACGGAACGGGAACTTCCTGTCTGATTTCTCTTTCCAGAGATAGAGAAGGAGAAGAGCCGGTCTATGGGGAAGCCATTGCTGGGCGGACCGTTCTCGTTGATTGACCACACGGGGTCACCGAAGAGCGAGCAGCACTTCCTGGGTCAGTGGGTGCTGCTGTACTTCGGCTTCACTCATTGTCCCGACATCTGTCCGGAGGAGATCGAGAAGATGATGGAAGTGGTGGAGAACATCGGTGAGAGCTGTGATTGGAGGAGGTCGGGGGAAGGCAAACTCCGGACTCACGGCTGATGTGGAACTACAAGTCCCATGACTCTCACAGCCACAGGCACCACTCCCAGAGGCATGATGGGATTTGTTGTTTCACCGCAGCTGGAGGGCCGGAGTTCGCACACCCCTGGTCTAGGTTTAAGATTTGGTTAGGGTATCTCGGCTTCTATTGTTGTGTGTTAATAAATATTTCCCCCACACTTCCTGTTCAGTTACTGGGACAGGAAGTGAGGGTAGAATCTCTTCAATGGAGACTTGGAGAGGAGGTTGTGGTCTGGTTTGCGATTGGCCGGTGGAAGAGGTCGCTCGGGGTAACCGCGCTCGCTTTGTAAAACGTTCCTTTTGTCTCCTCCAGATGCCATGAAGGGGGTTCCTAACCTCACCCCTCTCTTCATCACCGTGGACCCCGCGAGGGACAACCCGGAGGCCGTAGCCAAATATATTAAAGGTGACTTCCTTTCCTTGCTGTGACACTTCCTATTCGGCATTTCTGGGGTTGCCGGGTTCAGCTGCCGCCACTAACCCCTGCCCCGCTCTGCACTGTGTCTCTATATGGAGGTGGCCATCTTGGTAAAGGCGGCCATCTTGGTAGAGGCGGCCATCTTGGTAGAGGCGGCATCTAGGTAAAGGCGGCCATCTTGGTAGATGCGGGGCTTTGCTTCCTCATATCAGAGCCAGCTAGGAGAACGGCGATCTGTCGCAGCGATGACATCACCACACCTCTGATTTGTACCTTGAATACGATTTGGGTGATCGGCCGTCAGGAACGTGTTTTGTTTTTCTGCCCCCCCCCCTCTCTCCAGAATTCTCCCCCAAACTGATCGGCCTGACGGGGAGCGTGGAGCAGATCGCGGAGGTGGCCAAGGCGTACCGGGTGTACTTCAGCACGGGGCCCAAGGACGAGGACAGCGATTACATTGTAAGATGGATTCTTATCTC